CAATCTCCAATCGAACCTTTATTTTGTTGCTTCGCTTCGCTTTCCCGGAAAATTCAAAATTTTACCACCATAAAAAAGAACGTCATTTTTGCAAAACTTTCTTTTGAGCTTTCATAAATTATTTAACCCCTAGAGTCGTTTCCATAGATTGGCACAATAAAAACCTATATGTATATATCTTCTGTATTTATTTACTCTATAAAAATTTGAAACAGGTAAATTAACAAATGTGGATCTGTTCTTGATACTATTAATGTAAATTAATTGTTGTTAGTATACAAATACAAAATATTTGTCACTCTACATCAATGATCAATTTAACTTAATAAAAAATGGTTAATTTAAAACCAACGGACGAGTTTTTACATCAAAAACAATTCAATTGTCATTGTGTCCAAAGCGTAGCCAAGGACACATTGTCTATCCGCATGCGTGTTACGTACTAACCATTAGTATGAAACGTGTTTTTATATAAATAAACAATGCTACATATGCTTTGAACATTCAATTACCTGGTTATATAACTTTTATATTCTTATAATAATTAAAGTTACAATTTATACTGTAATTATTTAAAATGTTAAATTATAATTTATTCATATTAAATAAGTAAGATCTTTTTTACAATGTTTATTAAACAAATTTCTTAAAAATATATACAAAAATATATACAAAAATAATATATAATATGCAAAATTTATTTTCATCTTATTAAACTTATCAAAAAAATCCAAAAAAAAAATTTTTTTTTATTATATAACCCAATATTATTTATTTATTAGATGTATATGAAATTCAAATTATATTTATTTTTATTATTAATAAAACTTATTTTTAAAATTTATTATTATATAATATTTCAAATTGATTTTTTATTGACAAAAAATTTATTATTTTTAGTAAAAAAAAATAATATTTCAACTATTCAAAAATTCAATTACTTAATAATATAAAGATACAAAACTAATTGAAAAACATATTTAAAAATTATTTAAAAATTAATTAATACTTTAACAAAACGATACGTAATTCAAAAGCATATCAATAAAATCATTTGAAAAATTTTTAAATATAAATTTTTTCAAAATTATAAATTAATTTTCTAATAATTCAAATTCAAATCTTATTAAAAATCTGTAAACTAATATTCAAATTTTTTAAAATAAAAACAATTTATAATAAAAAGAATCAGATAAAAATTTTTTAAAAAAAATATATCTCAAATTTAAACCCTGAGTTCCGGATATACTGTATCTAATTTTGATTTTGAAATTCTTGACTATTTCTACATATAAATTAGTAAAATCCACCAAGTGATGAATAATGCACATATCCTAGATCGATCTTTGGTATCTGAAGCGTGCAGACATCAGTCTCTTCAATTACTTTTTTCTTTGCTTCGCGTCTATATTCTTGATGCGATTGTTGCAAAGAATGATATTTACTTCGGAGAACCAATACAATACACCACAGTAATCACGTGATTAGGTCTTACTTTGGAGTAAAGTTCGTGACCAACTGACTAATCTTTTCATCATAAGGTTGAAGCACATGATTCATACTCTGATAAACTTGGGTAGTAGCCAATAAAAGACGAAACGCGTGATTAATCACTTTTCTTCGCTATGCTCGATCATTCTCTAACGAAAACATAGTTCTTTGATAAAAATTTTTTTATTAATAATAGAATTATCCAGTTATTCATATTAATCACATGAATTAATTATTTCTATATGTATACTATACTGTATATAACAAACGCGCTGATATCCTCTATGCAACTAATAGCATGGAAATAGTCACGCACCCTAGTCATGATACATGCCTTCATTAAAGAAGAATATTTGATTTATACATGCAAAGAAAAAAGTACATCGCTTAATCAATAATTTACATAATTTTTTTCTTTATTCGAATTTCCGATCTTTTGATATTAAAACAACTTGGAAAAAAAAATCCAAATCCTGCAAACTGATGCTTTCCATTGAAAATAAAATCCAAACTCGTCATTCATTTTTTGTGCCGCTGTTTTACTTTTTCCGAGCAATCAAAACAATACCATTTCCCTTTTGGTCGATCGCTAAGTTTAACGCATGCAAAGTGAAACCATTCTATCTCGCATTCGTTATTATCACAGGCTACCATTTCACCATAACTGACTTGCTTGCAATAACAATATATCGGTTCATTTGGATCAATGGGCATATCTGCCACGGTTTGCGTATCCTCGCTCGTATTTGATTTTTCGGCAGTAACTTTTTTGTTGTTTTTTCCATTCTCTCTCTTCCTTGAAACTTTACCGGGTTTCTGAAGTTCTTTGTCCCCATTGTGTTTCGAAGGTGGTGGAGTTCCTGTGTCTTTGACCTTTTTGCGCTTATTGGTTGAAGGCGTTTCAAGTCCGTTGGTCCCTCGTTTTTCTGCCTTTATTTCCTTTTTGTCTTTTTCACTCTTTTGAACATGTTTGCGAATGGGTTCTTCGCGAGCGGCAACGGTATTGGTTGTTGAGTTTATCCTGCCGGGTCCCGTCATTTGTTCGTCTTCAAACTTCTGAAGATCATCGTCTAACCTCCGAATGTGACGGTCTACCGTGTCGTAAGTTGATGTAGCAAGAGACACTCTTTCCTCAGCAAACCTTCCGGTCGCTGACAGATTACTGCTAAGCTTTTTGAGTTGTTCCACTCTATCCTCCGGACTAAGCTCGTGTATATGCTCTATCAGTTGTACGGAAAGTTCGGTGACCTTGTCGAATTGCTCTTGCGCACTTGCGTCAAGTTGTTGCATTAAGGTGAAACTGCGTTGCATCTCTGCGGGCAACGACTCTAACGTATCGAGGTAATCATCGAGGTACACCAAGTTTTGCTCGAAGCGATTAGTACTAAAGTGATGGCTACTCGGCATGGTAACTTATTGGGAAAGGTTTGAATGTATATCCAAACTTGGGTCTTAATTAATTTATAGGAATTTTAATTGGACAATAATGGTGGCTTAGAATAAAAATATGTAAACAGTAAATTGATTTTCTAATTTTTCACAATGAACCACCAAGCTCCTCCTTTCGATCCTAAAATCGCTTTCCCTAAACTTATAATCAAACCCCGGAAACAATATAAAAAAAAAAACGTGTATCGTGCTGGACAATCCCAAGTACATGCTGCTTCTAATTATTCCTCCTCCTCGTCCTCCCAGAGTCAAATAAGAATTGAGAAATCAGAATTACAGATAGTAAGGAGAGATCTGAGTACTCTTCTAACCAGTTTAAAAGAACGGAAAAGTAAATTAGAGCAACTAGCGGATAGGCTTGAGATCTGGTCTGCCCCAGGTGGTGGTGCGGGTATATCAAATAATGTGGTCGGTTCAATAACTCACGGAGGAGATTCCAATTCAAAAAAGGCCAGGAGTCCCACGATCGTACGGAGTCCTAGCATTCACCGATTGGAAAGTCCAAATGTCCGGTTAGGAAGTCCCAGTGTTCACAAAAATACATCAAAAGAGAAGGGCTCCAAGAAGAAAGGGTCGATAAGCATTAAAATAAAACGGGAGGATTCGGGTGTGTTAATATTTCTTATGTTTGTAAATTAGGTTCGCACAAAAATAATGATTCGAATTTTTTTTAGATCAGGAAGAACACTTCAGCTCGACTCCTCAACGAAGAGATTCAGTAAAGTCCAACAAGTGAGCTTGAATTTTTATCCTATTCCTCTTGATGATTTAGTTCGTAGGTTAATATGTTTTTTATATCTCTAGTGGTCCTCGCAGAAAGAAGAAGGCTTCCGCGAAGAGGGAAAGGGATTCCGATGACGATAGCGAATACTCCGATAATGATAAACCACATACCAAAGACTCGAGAAATTCAACACACCGAATGGCTCAGAACTCGGTAATTATGCTTTATTGTTTCTTGCCTCGTCTTTCTTGCACCGGATAGTGGAACTTTGGCAACTAAAAAACAAAAAAAAAATCCCCCAACAAATTATAGGCAAGGGGTGCATACAAAAAAAGAATGAGAAGTACTTCAGAAACCGTTCCTAAGGCTGAGGAGGATACACCTATCATAAAATCAAAAGATCAAGTGACGATCAAAACTTTTTATGAATACGTTGAACCATATGTCAGGGATTATACAGAAGACGATGTTAATTTCTTGAAAGAAAAGGTAGTTATGCTAAACCGATTTGCAAAAGACATTTAATCATCCTAATGGTAACTACAAATTAGCATACCTTTCTTTTTTACCAGGAGGATGACTTATCATTGTATATTATTCCAAAACTGGGGAGAAACTACGCCGAGGTTTGGGCCGAAGAAGAACGCAACCTTTTTCCACAGACTCCTGAAGAACTTGAGGCCAGACACGTTGACACAGTAGATGGACAGCGTAGGATACAGGAATTAGATATCGATGGATCTTGCGGACCTTTGACCGAGAGGTTGCTTGCTGCTTT